AGTTAATTATAATCCTGATGCCTTCATGGTGGTGACTATTCTGATCAAATTTCTTTAACAGCATATCTGTAAAAAACAGTATATGGCTTAAGCTTGTTTATAACAATTTTATTCTTCTAAACACAAGGATGTAACATACTTTAACTGCATTACTAAAGTGTATTACTTAGTTAAGTAATGCATACTTCCAGTTCATTTAATTACAACCTTTTCCTTTATCCTGAGGAAGTTCTTTACAACGTAGCTTTTTTTTTTCTTTTCTGGATGAAATATATGAAATGCTAAATGCACGTGTGTCCATTGGTGCTGGGATAAGTAAAAACTTTTATTGCACCGACATGCTCTTGCAAGAAACAAAAAAAACCCCACGACAGCTGGACCTAGGTCACTGAAAACATTCTCCATAACGAAAACTGTTACTTCGAGCACTCGCTGTGTTTGTTTAGATGAAGGTCCTGACTGGGGAATTTTTGGCATTAATGAAAGAAAAAGAAGCTGTGAACGGAAGAGACAATATTACAGTCTGTTGTCCTGAAGTAAAATTGGACTAGGTGGTGTTAGTGTGCAACACAATATAAATGTGTAAGCGAAAACTGGTAACATTAGTGTAATCTTTTCCTTTATTTCCTAATATTGCATTTAAACCTGGCTATTTTTTTCTGTAAAGTTGCCTTTGATGAAGGTGACTGCTGTGATGAAATCACAAGGATGTCAGTGGAAATAGGAGGCAGATTTATGATTTGTTAGCCTTTCTGAAAATATATAATTGAATTTGGATCTCTTCAGACTTCTGCAAGGGCACTTTTCTCCCCACACTCCTTGCCATTGCACTAAAGTGCCACTGGTTGGTAAAAACTGGAGGCTGGGCAGTGAGAAAAGCCAGCGCAGGACAGACCCGAGGGAGTGTGTGTGGGGAGAAGTCACTCTGGCTGCAGCCACAGCTCACAGCTCCAACAGGCTGTGCTGTCTGGGCCAGCCCCCCGATATTTGGACCCCCAGAAAACGTTCAGGGCAGCTTCAAAGACTGGGATGGGGTGGGACCGGTAACATCTTCTCCCCTGCTGCTCCCTCCTCCTCACACTGCTCCCCTGCCCCAACGTGGGGCCTTCCCACACGCTGTGGTTCCTTCAGGAAACACCTCCTCTGGTGTGGTCCTCTCCCAGGGGCTGCAGGGCAGCCCCAGCCCTGCCGGGGTCCCTCCCGGTACAAGCTGCTGTGGTGTAGGTGCTCTGTTTTGGGACAGGGAAGCAGAGGATCAGCCAGGCAGGACTCTGCTGTCGCACCCCGTGCTCTTCTCTTCCTGGGGCGAACATCATTCTCCACAGCACAGGAGTATCCCTCGCATCGCTGATCCGATTTTTTGTTGTTGCTCTCTACAACCTCATTCAAAGCCCATCAAAGAGCATCTCTTACCGTAAAAACCCCAAACCTCACACAAGCAGTACATAACCTGATTCTGCTTAGTTTCTGTAGGCAATGTTTGGCTCTTCATCATTCATAAAGCATCAAGGATCTTGGATCCAAGACCAGTCACGTCTCGGTGACAGAATGCGTAAGCACAAAGAAAATGGGTCCACGGTCATGGAATTTATTCTACTGGAAGAAATACTTTAAAATAAATTTATATTCACAGCCTACAATATAGTCATAGCAACAGCAGAAGCAGTAAAAAGCTGTAAAAGTGCACAGAGTCTCTGTAGCGGAAATACAAATTTTAACAAATGAACTATTTCAGAAGAAACTACAAGCAAAATTTATTAATAATAGAAGACAATATTCTAGGTGGTATTTTCTCTGTCCCATTTTGGATTCATTCCCAAATAAATCCTGTGTTGTTTTTTCCTCTGGAAGTGGCAGTTTTTCTCTAGAACCAGATTGCTTTCTAAATTAAATGGTTCCAAAATGGTTATTTCCCAAACAGCAACACTGAAATGAGCGAAAACCTGGTACAGAATGTTTTGCTGCTGACTTCAGTGAAGTTAAATCTTTGTTTCTGAAGAAAACATTAATTCAGTTCCTCACAGGATTCAGCAGATAAAAACATGCTTCCCTGGCACTGTGGACCTTTCTTCCCCGTCTTCCTCCCCCACCAGACGTGCACACAGAATCACAGAATGGTTGGGGTTGGAAGGGACCTCTGTGGGTCACCCAGCCCAACCCCCTGCCAAAGCAGGGTCACCCAGAGCAGGCTGCACAGGACCTTGTCCAGGTGGGTCTGGAATATCTCCAGAGAAGGAGACTCCACAACCTCCCTGGGCAGCCTGGGCCAGGGCTCCGTCACGGAAGAAGTCCGTCCTCACACCTCCACGGACAATATTTAAAAACCACTAAAAGGAAACAGAGGAAGCCTGACCCTTAAAGTCACCTCTTCACCGCCCTCCTACCGAAAACCGACCCTGAGGGTGCGGCTGCTTCCCCACGTAGAGACCGCCAGACTGACATCATGGCGACTGGCAACAGAGCCGGCCGCAGTCCCTTCCCTGGCCATCCAGGAGCTCGCCTCTCCTGCGCGGCTGGCCTGAAGGTGACACTGTCCGTCTTCAGCCACCTTCAGCTGACGTGAGGAAAGCAGACTCCACAATCTGTAAGATTATAAAGTAGGGATGTTTATTCGGCGCCGGGTAGCACGGGGGGGGGTAGTCCCACCAAAGTCGTGCGCGCCGAGCAGCAATGTGTCTCTTCAATTTATACAATTAAATATTACATATACATTAGATTTCCCAATACGCCTACACATATGCATCTATCCTCATTTCATATCAAAATCAGTTCCAAGAAATAATTTCCATATTATAATTAGTTCTAAGAAGTAATTTCCACAGACTCCTCCCAGCTGCGCTTGCGCAGTGCCTCCTGGTGGCATGGTCACCCTGTCGTCCACTGTGGAAATGGCACAGCTGTAGTGGGGCGAGCCGAGGTGCTCGCCGCTCTCGCTGTATTCCAACCAGGCTGCTGCAGCTCAGGCCCCACGTCTCCTGGAGCTGAACGTAGCGCTTCTGCTCTGTATTCGTGTTAGTTCCTAGGACACACAGACATTTCCTGGAGGTGCTTTTTTCCTTTGTTCAGCAGTAGTTTTACTGCATTTCCATGTCAGTCGCCGAGGCGAGCAGCGCCGGTGCTGGCACAGCCTGTGAGGGAGGGCTCCATCATGGTGCACAGGGGAGTTCCTGAATTGGGAGAACCTCAGGGGAGCAGAGAGACCTGCCAGGAGCCCATGGCTTGGTGATAGCGTCTGAGGAGACCTGGGCAGGTGCAGGAGCAACAGCAGCCAAGCCCCCCCCACGTATAAAAGAAGCCCCCCAGGAGCGCTAGGAATAGGATGCAGGGCATCAGCCAGGGCGGGGTGCTGCAGGGATCATGGAGGGGCTCATGGAGGGGCTCATGGAAGGGCGCTGTGACTCTGCTGGCTTGATCAGGGAGCGATGGTGTCCACCTGGCAGAAGGCCACATGTTCTCCAAGCTCTGCACTCACAGCAACTGACACATCTTCCCAGACAGCGCTCCATGGGAACACGCTCCCACCCAGATGCAGGCTGCAGGACGTGCCCTGATCTTCTGCCAGTACGAGACGGCAGCAGTGAGCACCCCGGTGGGAAGTGTGCCCAGGCAGAGAAACTCCTCTGCTTAGCGACAGAGCTCCGGGTGGAGGTGAGCAGGTTGAGAAGTATCAGGCAGTCTGAAGAGACTGACTACTGGAATCATGCCCAGCATCCCTGGGACAGACCCAGCAGGCAGATAGGACACAGGGCCTGGAGGATCCACTATCCTCTCTCTGCCCAGCAGAACATGGTGATTTAAGGGATAGGGGGAAATGGCAACAAGTTTCTGCCCGGCACAGCAGGCAGATCTCCTCCATGACTACCCCGCCTTCCCTGGAGCCCTGGTACGAGGCTCTGCAAGAGGAACCAAACAATGAAGAGGATGATGGTTCCTCCACGTTGGAGGTGTTGCCAAGGTTAAGTTGTCCTACACTTTGTGTCAAAACCACTTCCATAAAGGAAAAATGCTGGGCCATTTTCATAGGAGACTCTCTTCTGAGGAGAACAGAAGGTCCAATGTGCCAATCTGACCCACCTCAACCTAGCTGAGTTTCAAATCATTGGCGATAGGAGGAAAACTCCCAGCAAAATTTTGACCCTGGGTATGGGGAGAGCAGACGTAGCCTGCTGAAGGAGCTAGTTAGTAAGGTCCGCTGAGAATCATTTTTGATGATTTTGGTTTTGGCTGGGACAGAGTTACTTTTCTTCCCAGTAGCTGCTGTATTTTGGGTTTAGTACGAGAAGGATGCTGATAATACACTGATGTTTTTTGTTGTTGCTAAGAAATGGAGGACTTTTTTGTTTCCCGTGTTTGGCTAACGAGCAGGTGTACAAGAGCTGGGAGGAAGCACAGCCAGGCAGCGAACCCAAGCTGCCCGATGGAAATATTCCATACCATAACGCATCATGCTCTGTTTATAAATGCAGGTTAGCCGGGGTGCAGGAACTCTCTTTTTCTGTGAGTTCTCTCTTTTCCGTGAACTCAGACTTCAGCGATCGCTGGGCATGCACATGCATGCATACATTCTTTCCTTAAAAATATGTAAAAATGAAAACACTAAGCCAGTGTCTGTGCATTAGGGATATTATCTGAGCCACCAATGAAATCTCTAAGGCAAAATAAGACAATATTAGTACAATGGAATATAAATATAAACGATCTTCTATGAATGGGGCATAAGCCATAAGCTCCTCTAGAGAAATGAGAGGGGGATGCCTGGTCATCTTCAGCAAAGCAGTTAACAAAGATCACTATGTAAACCTAGTATCTTAACGACATTATTGAGATGATTTTTTAAAAGGTACAATGCAACTCAGGAACATGTCTGTTATTCTCCAAACTCCATCAAAAAAAGTTTAATTACATAAAAGAAAGCCATTTATTTTAAAAAATTATATATATATACTTATTACAGATACTTAAATCACACGAAAAAATACATTTTATGGACAAAAAAATAGTTTCTCTTGCACCAATTTTAAGAAGCAAGACAGAAAAAATAATCACAGAATTAATCTGAACAAAGCCAAACAGGTAACAGTTCAGATGCAGCTGACTTGGAGAAAGCAATGCAACTCAAAACTAGCTTTGGTCAGCTTGGGTTCTGGTGCCACCTGCTGAAATATCAGTATTTTTCCCCTTGCAACCATAGCTAACACGCGGTTTAAATTAATTCGCTGCATTAGAGGGCAATACACGAAGAAAGGTCACAGAGAAGACGAGGTGCTTAAGTAATCTAAGTGCACATCCAGAGTGCCATACACCGAACCCAGTACATTGAGAACCTTCTCTTGAATGATGTCAACCTGCTCTGAAGGGCAATAGTCATCCAGACTTGATCTGCAACAGGGAAGTGAAAAAAGCATGAGAGAGTACAGATATCACCACCGTGACCAGGCTTTGTATTCTTGTAATGCTCTGTGTCTAGGCTGAAGCTACTTTCAAACTGTGTTGAGTTCTGCTTCCCAGTATCCCTTCGAAACGTCATGCTGTGCTTTTCCTCGCTGCTTTCAATGGTAACAGCTTGCTGAAGTTGAATAGAACGTCTGGAGCAGATTAGAATTGTGACCTATTCATCTTGACAATTCCACTCCCTTCCTGACTCTGACACAGAACATGTCAGCAGCCAAAGTTCAAGCAAATGATCTAATTAAAGAACTGGTGGTTGCAAAATTCAAATGTTACTAGTAAAATAGGCAGGAATACTTGAAAAACAAAGCTTCCCAATCCCTGGGATACAACATTATTTACAGTATCCACTAAGAGACACTAGTAAAAAAGCAGAGCTGACACTTCTTGGATTTTGTATGTCAAGATCTACATAAATGAGTCTGCGTTTTCTCTGCAGCAGCGGATGATAGCCCTGCAGTTATCAGGAAATACAGCTTTCTTTTATTGTAGGCATCAGCCATGCTATTTCTTGTTGAATAAAACAATTTCATGTCAGTTTCTGCTATTGTTGCCTGTCCTTTAAGGGCACACTTCGTATTTATGAAGCGATTAAATTCCTGTAATTTTTCAACAGATACACTGTGGTCTTCAAATTAAGTTCTCCCAGGACAGATCCCTGGTTCTCCCAGGTCCTTGGCCTCAAACTCCATCCTGTTCTCCCAAATAATTTCCTTGCAGTCCTGGAAGCATAACTTTTACCCCATACAAAGCTTTACTAGTGCTTTCTAGAAAATAAATCCCTTTCAGCCTATTAGATGAAAACCACTTCCATCAGAAGTTTCACTGAAAACAGAAATCTTATCTGTAATATGATGAACCCTAGAACAAGAGAGTAAGGAAGGTGTGATTTCAGCTCACACGGGCTTGTCCAAGCTGGCTTTGCTCTAACTAGCACAAGTAATAAAAATAGTGGAGATGTATGAATCCCAGTGACAGCTATCAATCTCAACACACATGAGGCCTCATCACAGGCTTTATATAGCCTGTGCTGCAGCTCATTAAGTCATCACATTTTCACTGCTTTTGAAATCTTTGCTAGCTACTCTCTTACTCCCGTAAAACTGGCCATCAGCACAGAACCTTCCCCTAGCTGCACAGACACTGTCACTGCCTTATGATCAACATTTTCAAACGTCAATTTTCACTACACTGTTAAGGCTTCCACTTTAGGACAGAATTTATAATGTGCCAACCAGGGCTATATTGATAGAATCATTTAGGTTCATATGCACAGGCTGAGCGTTTTAAAGTAAAAGTATCTACACGGTCTTACCGAGCAACTGTCACAAGCGTGGGCTTAGGCATATCTTTTAGTAGAATTTTAACGGATTGTACGAGGCCTTCAATCTCCTCTTCAGTGCTAACATGGTGGGGAAGCTCCATATAGTCACAGGTCAGACCAGCCTGATGGACCTACATGTAAATTAAACAGAGATTTAATTCCTGTTGAAGAATTATCCATATAGCTGATCTGTGTAAAAAGTCTGTAAGATACCATCTCCAGCCCACTAGGTACCTTACACTTCTTCAGGCACTAAAAGTTGTTTTTTTTCCCCCAACCTATTCTTTGAACAAAAAGAATAAAATTCTGGAGGTTGTATGGGTTTCATTATCTCCAGTACACTGTACCTCTCCTATGAATTCAGAGTATGCTGCAGCCTTTGCAGATGATAGGTCTGATCTTCTACAAATAGGTACCTTAAGTTAAGCTCTACAAAGTATATCAACAGACCCTGGTGAAACGAAACCCTCCTTCACAGGAAGCAGCCTGAGACATCACAGTCCTGAAATATCATATTAATGTTACCCACATATGGACAAGTAGAGTAGAATTTTAGAAGCTTTAAAAAGAAAAGCTTGCTTAAAGTCCTGAATCAAGAGCAAGTCTGAAATAAAGCATGATCTTTTCCCCCCCTTCTGGAAGCTATGCTTTTGAAATATGTCCACTTTCTGCTCTTTTACCTAGTCACCTACCATTTCGTAGTCTGGGCTTTCCATCCTGGTTTTCAAACTGTGAACTAGTTGACCAAGTGGCTTCATTCTGGAGTTAGAACAACACCAAAATTTGTTACATAAACAGTTGGAAACACATACATTTACCTGAAGTTGTAAAAAAACAAAAAAAAAAAAAAAAGAAAAAATGAACAGAGTAGAAGTAAGTTATCATGGCCTAGGATATGAAAAATAGATTTGCCTCTCTGTGTCATCTTGCATCTGAGAAAAATGGAAATTATCAGTACTATTGTACTGCTTCACTAGGTCTTTCTTAGCAAGCTCCTAAAGGTGCCTCTTTGCCCTTCTTTTAGGGCAGACCTGGAAAGAAGCTCAAAGTCGTATGAACTTGACAGAAGACCCTTGTGGTCACTGTTACACAGGTCTGGCAGTAACTGCTGCATTTGATGGGGAAAATGAGTGAGGCTCCTACCAAGGGAAAGCTCAGACTTCTGCTATCTCTTTCCAGCTGAAAACACACAGTTTAAAAGCATAGTGGATGCTGCCAAGATGTTTTCGTGAACACTGTCGCTCAGGTGCAGCCTTTCATTCACTTCCATTTTTCCACAGAAAGCAGAGCCTTCAGAAGCACCAAAGAAGTCCTTCTCCATATGCTCCATAGTTTGTTACTTTTCTGAGAGACCTGCTTCGCACAGACCACTAAACTTCTAGTCACCAAATCTGCCTCCCTCCACAGGCAACAGAATCTGCATGAAGCTCTACGAGGCTGATCCTGGAACGCTTATCACAGCACGGAAGACAGCAGACTGCCTTTTCTTCTGTCTAACTCTTTCTCCTCTAGAACTAAAGGGAAAATGGTAACCTTGCATAGATCCTGTCCAGCTTCTCTTCTTTTCTGTTAGCAAAGTGCTGGGCTAATCAGTTCCCAAACTACTGTTTGCATTTTAAGCCACTTGGAAATCTCCTACCCAGGATACGAAGCCCACTTCTGTAAGGTCTCTTCATCATCATTGTCACACAAATCTGCAAATGCTGCTTCCAGATCTTCTAGCTGATGAACACGGTTCTCAACGCAATCCAACAAGCCCTCCTTTAAATAAACACATATAAAAGTACGTTAGGAAAAAAAGAGGTAAGAATGTCATGGCTTACCCTACGATTTAAATTCTGAAATGATTGATCTGCTGGAAGTGGGGAATCAGAAACAACTGATTCATTACTACACAACTTCTTTTCAAGAGGATCAGAATGAATGCCTGCAGAAGCTGTTATACCCTCAGAATGAATCACCTCTCTTTGCTCTGTCTTTCGCACGACAAATAAAAAAAGCCACATCTACATGCTGGTAGAATACAGCAGGGAGAGCTAAGAAACTGTACATGACTAATTGTTGGCTTTGTTTCTATAGCACTGAAGTGAGAATAGATGAGTAGAAGCTTTATATTTTTATAATGAAAAGGTACTTTAATTTTATAAGTTTTTTAAAAAAAGAATATTACTACATCAAATGCATTTTCAGAAAAACAAAGCAAAATGGGCTATTTGATGCTCTGAGATTGTTTCAACTCTGCGTGCCTGAAAAAATATGGAAGTAATTTAAAATGTCAGTTATTGTTCTGATCCTGCAAAGGTTTATGGCCTTTCTTAAAAAGTTCAGAACACTTAAAAGAGGCGACCTTCTTGGTGTGACACTACATACATGAATACAGTTGTGCATGCAAACATTTGCAGAAAGAGATCCTACATAAAATAAAAAATGAAAAGCAATGCGTGGCATATTTGGTATTAAAAATGCTCAGTGCAGTGATGCGTGAAGGAAAATTCGTAAAAAGCACATTGGAATGGATGGGTAACAATTAAGAACATAACAATTCCCTCTTAGGATTCTGCACACTGTATCATATAACAGATGTTGCGTCTTTTGGCCAGCGAAGTCAGCTTTGGGCTAATTTTTAAGAGGACCTGAGGGTATCAACCATTCATGAAGGACAGCTTTATGATCCTATCTTGGGGTATGGATGAGATACTTTTCCAAGCAGCACCGTATCTAACCTTAAAGACACGTCTGACCACACTCCATACTACCTGAAAAACTAAACCTACCAAAAAAAAACCCAAACTACACACTATTACGATAGAAATCTACATCTCACTATACTCTGGAACTACAAAAACAGATTTTATACTACCTGAAAAACAAAACCTAACAAAAAAAACCCCAAATGACACACTATTACGATAGAAATCTACATCTAACTATACTCTGGAACTACAAAAACAGATTTTAAGAGACTAGACATCTAGGATATTTTCTGCAACTTTGCAAAACACAAAGTTCACTAGTTTTCTAACTTCAAAACCTTTGAGCTGATGGTCTCCCTATAAAACCATCCATGAATCCGGTCATGACTTGTTCAGTTCTGTACCTATTTATTACTTGCTGTGTTCTAATCATTTCAGTTGCCTCCTGTAAACTTGTTGGCTTTTATAAATAACTTATGCCCTGAAATCATATTGGGAACTTAAATCACAAGCATTTACCCCTTTCACATTTAATTACCTTTTAAATAGGTAACTGTATTTATTGCTAAGAAACATGAATATCTATTTGACAATCTTCCACATATCTCCATTTTTATACACACATATTAATTAGGATTCATTGATCTGTGATAATTGTATGTGTTGAATCTCCCTGTAAGAGTATTCAGATGAGATTACGAAAGCAAAGACAAGATCTTGTTCAGAAGTGACATGGTGTAATGACCGTTAACACGGCTGTCTCCATGGTTTGGGCTCAGTGCTGAGTGGCTGTTTTGGCAGTTACAGCAGACTTACATTTCTGTAATTAAGAAGCACACAATGCATACAATGAAAAGTACGTTACAGTGGTGTAATACCGGCCTTTTCACGTCTAAATAAATAGGTAAAATACACAGTTAGGCACTGAGCACAGCTCTGACTATCAAGGAAGAGCAACTATGGCAAGGAAGGACATAGGCTGGAGGGAAGAAAAAAAAACCCCACAAAAAAAACCCAAAAATAAAAAAAAATCCAAACCAAAGCCCTGTTGAACCATAAAAAGAACAAGATTGCAGATGACTTATTATGTTTTCATTTCTTCCTTGACAATTATCATTTGTTTACAGAAATTAATTTCCATACTTATGGTAAATACTTATGCAGTTCACACATTTAGTCAAAATATTTAATAGGAAAGAACCCCTAACATGGTGCTGATTAGCATTCAGCATGCTGCATAGCTTAATTGAAGACCACTTCATTAAGCACCTTTCATAGGTTCTTTCCTTGTCGTAACTCATTTTTGTTGGGTAAAGCAGAAGAATCATTCCCTCACACGTCCCACAAGGAAATACCATACCTCTGTTGCATTTCTATGAGGCTTCTTGAAACTGTACAACTCTTGCAAAAGCTCATATTCTGTCTTTGAAAAAGAAGAAAAGAGGCAAAAAATTAGGCCTTTCACATGAGAAACAAAATCCTCAAATCCCTCCTTCTTCAAAAAAAGAATCTGAATACTAAGATTGCTCCTCTGCTGCAGACAAATCTCCATAAATGCAGGTGAGGAAGAGGCTGTGAGGCTGGAGAAAGCAACACTTCACGGCCTCAGCCAAACACCTTGCAACTGCTTGACTTTAACCTGACTTCAAGAACACAGCTTTAAAAGCTAAGTGTTTACAGTCCGTTAGTTAAAGAGTCTCTGAAATTAAACATATATTTTGTTGAACTGTAGTCCCAATGAGATGCTAAGTAAAACTGAGATAGCACATTTCGGCAGATAAAAGCAACAGGAGAGTATGACTGTAAACAAAAACCGGACAGGTAAAGGCTTCAGGCTGGTTGGCCACGTTCACAAGTAAACTATTACAGGGGCTTGTCAGCCCTACTCCTTTATAATACTCAGGCTTAATTAATCAAGGGTAAACAGATCTTATTATTTATTTAACAGCATTCAAAAAGTGAACTGTCATCAATTTTTCAGGAGCAGAGGGAGAATGAAAGGGTAGACTAGTTGATTTTTACAGAAATACAAAGCATCTTTAGGGCAATGTGTTGAATTTTAGACTTTTTTGGTGGGAGGACAATACTATTCTGCATCGGTGAACCATATTTGCTTTTTAGCTTTTCCTTGTATCCTTGCATTTCAAGTGTTAACTTCTGAAAAATTTTTGGATGGAATTATTGTAATTCACAATAGAGGGAACCTAATTAAGAAATATTAACTGCAAATAAAATTGTTGTATCAAAAAAGGTACACTGGGTGCTCTGCACAAGTCCACTTCTGAAAGCTGTTCCTAGAATTGAGAACCTGTCAGAACACAAACCCCCCAAAAAGTACAAGAAACCAAACAAAAAGCCCTCTACCACTACACCACCAACCCCTCAAAAAAAACCAAACAAAAAAACCCCCAAACTCCTCCATTATTTAATTCATAATGTATTTTGCCTAAGAGAGGTACTGAATTTTACTCTTCTATGGAAAGATCCCCGTGGTGCTTTCTCTTCACCGTACGCTTCTCTTTGCGATTCAGAACAACTGCCATCATAAATACTGAATGTCAGAAGCTAACGGAGCTCAGGGACACTATACTCACTATATTCACAAGGAAGGAGCAGTCTAGCTGAAATTCAGAGATGTCAGATGTTCTCCAGCATAGGCTGAAGTTAAAACAATGCCAAAGAGAGATTTAAATGCTATGAGCGGTCAGGATATCGCAGAATTGGTAAACCTAAATGCCACACCCAATTTTCAGGGCAGATTAGATAGTTTCTAAAAATCCTGTTCCCACCAAGCAAAGCTGCTAACTGCTTTGCACCTTTGAAGATCTACACATTTATGACTCTACACAGGTGAGCTACCTTTGCTGTGCAGGCAAGTTATGAATAGAATACAAGGCAGAGTCTTAAGCTCAGAGCCATGGCATCAGAGACAACAGCTGCTTTGCTCACCCTTCTACTCAGCAGTCCAGACAAAGGGAATGGGAGTAACAGCCTCTCACCAGGACAAGTTACCACTCTCTGGAGGTAAAAAATGATACAATCTGTCATCGCTCCCTGATGAATCTTCCTGTGGGTATTTGGAACATCACCTCTGGAAACCCAAGCACAGCTTTTATGATCCAAGCAACAAGCAGAAGTGAGCCACACACCTTTGAGTTTGAAATGTGCACTCAGTACCTATTTCAAACACAAGGATCTACCCCTATGAGGTTGTTGTACTTCTTCAGAGCCTACACTCCCTCAGAATGCCTCTCCTTCAGATATTACCATGACTCGTTAATCATGATCAGCTGATCTGCTAATTTAGCTTAGATGAAAGTTTCTCCATAGACATAAATGCTAGGACTGGTACTCTGTTGTGAATGGTAAGAGGCCTCTCCATCGTCACGCTTACCTGTGTGTACATTTCTTTAAATGGATTTTTAACTGAAAAAAAATCTAAGTCGATGTCTAAAACATACGCAGCCCCTTTCTGCAGTACTTGGCAGACATCTTTAACAACCTCCCTTATCAAGCATTCACTGCTGCTGACAGAGCTTGAAGCCGAGAACTCTGACAACGTTTCTGCCTTGTTCGGGGCACTTGTATTTTGTACTTCTTTCTTCTTCAGACTTGGGGTGCTGGGATCAAGGTCACCAGGAGCCACTGACAAAGAAGCAGAAGCGGTGCTTGCTGTGTCATCTGTAGCTAGCTTCAGTCTCTTAGCAGATGCTACTTTGCCATTTTCTTCCTGGCTGTTTGACGCTTCAGTAGGATTGATGAGCACGACGTGTAAATTTAAAGGCTTCTGGTTTTCTAGCTGATCAGCAGGGACATAAAGACCATCACTTAAAAAGTAATGATCTGTACCTGTAACCCTACAATTGACAATAACTCACAGTTAATATACATCTTTGCAAGGAGCTTAGGAAAAAGCATGTACACTTGAGGGATTCTGAGAAGAATGAATAGATGATTGATGGGTAACAAAAGCAATAACACTGTACACAAAATCAATTCTTTTAATCCGCAGGTTTTCAAATTGAAGTTTTTTAATACTTCTTTATTGCTGAGTCAATATATTAAAATTCACTCCATATTTTATCATAGCCCCACAAGGTTTTTAATGGATAAAGAAAAGATTCAGCATTATGCGCTACTAAGATTAATTTGCCATTGAATTGCATTTTAAAGACAACATTCAGAATTTAACAAGATACTGTCCTATATAAGACTGCAAAGCTATGGATATTTTGTCTTGGATTGACTATTTTTTAAAGAAAACTCTGTTAGTTGCGTTTGAAAATTGCACTGAAACCCATGAATATTGATTTAATACAAGTAAAATATTATGCATTACTAGGTAGCATTTAACTTTTCTTTACCACCAATATAGATTCCTTGTTCTAAGTGGGGGAAAGGAGGTAGCTCAAGGATGAATAGCTACATATCAGTGGAATCCGCTTCATTAAAAATAAACAAACAAAACCCAATGCTAAAAAACTCCACTTACAGTGAAATTGTAAAGATTATTATTTCCAAGTCATATTTCAGTACATTAAACTTTAAGCCTCATATATTCAAACTGAAAAAGAAGCTTAAGAAGCAGCGTGAACTTCTGCTCACTTGTGTTAAGGCCATAAATTTGATTACAAGGTACCATTATCATCATCAATCAAACACAAATAATTTCATGAGCAGCAGAAATTTGAAGCTTAGTTCCCCTGTGTCTTATGGCTGCTAAGGCGAGAGCCTGGATCACAACTTCATCTTGTTGATGGGAATTCACAGGGTCTCTTCTCAGAAACGCTCCAGGGTTCAACACGACCTCACGCTACAGCCTTTCCCTTAGTGGGACACTAACGAAGGTACCTATGGCCTATCCAGTCACCTGTTGTCAACAAAATTTTTAGGAAGTTCATAATTCTGAGAACCCTTTCCCTTTATTCCTTCATGATTTTTCTAAGTGTAGAACCTGAAGAAAAGATACCTGACTGTCTTCAAAAGGTAGCTTGAAATGTTGTTTTCAAGGTTGCTAAGGCAACCAGAGGATCTGTGGGAAAGCTGTTCAGCCATCATGAAGTATTTCTATGTGTGTGCTAGTTCTCATGGTTAAATCTAACTGAAAGTATGAGCTTTTGTCTTAATATTTAGCTTTTCTTTAGGCCTCAGATTCAGAATTGTAGAGCTTCTGTGTTTTTAGGTTCTAAAACAAAGCATTTCTCTGCTGTCTTCTGTTAAACTTGCCTCAAAAGATTTATTGAGATATGATTTGTAAACCTCCATTCAAGCTGTACACAATCACAAGGCAGTGAATATGGTGAATGCAAAATTGTCACTGACTGCATCCCACAGAATTATGAGGGCTGTCACCAGCACTGCAATCACAGAACGATTAAGATTGGAAGGGACATCTGGAAGTCTCTTGTCAATCATATGATTGAAGCAGAACTAACTTCAAAGCCAGATGAGGCTGCCCCGGGCCTCGACTAGTTGGGTTTTGACTTTATCAAAGAATGGAAAATTCTCTGTCTGCCTGTGTACCTCTTTCACTACTTCACTAGTAGATTAACTCAAAAAAACCCCACCAAAACTAAACAACAACAACAAAAAATCCAACCAAAAAAGCATACACGAGAAAAACAGGATCACGGAGGGAAGCAAAGAGATTTCTCTGCTTATTCAGCACCTGAGGTCACACTTGACATGCTCTGCCCAGGTCTGGGCCTCGAGGACAAGAGAGATGAGAACAAACCGAAGAAGGGCCGCTAAGGTGATCAGAGGGCCAGAGCACACGAGGGGGAAGCTGAGGGAACTAGGCTGGTTTTGTCCTGATAAGGGAGGACTGACGAGGATCTAACTGCTGCCCTCTGTTACAATTACTGCTTTCTGAAATTTGGACTTCAATGAAGAGAAAAAATTTAAGACTTGGGTAGCTGAAATGAGATGTGAATAGCTAGAATTACCTATAAAAAGAATTTAAGGCACAATTTTAACTGTACCCACTCACACAAGAAGTCAGTCACGTTAGGTCCTAAGGAACTCACAAATACAAATTAAATTTTCATCTTTATCAAAGAAAAAAAAAAGCCCATGAAAAGCTACAGAGATAGCATTCATATCATTAGCATATGACAGCAGACAATTTTT